TTGTCATCTTTGCTCATTGATCTAAACAGTGACTACAACAGTGCCTAACTAAACAGATGATGAACTACTACTATTAGCTACATGGCTGGTAGCAGAGATTAGGGCTGACCTAAACATTTTGAGATTTAGCGATTTTTAAAATTAGCTATGGTTAAACTGTTCCTCAGTATCTTAGTTACTTTTCTCATTGTTAAAAGTTAAAAGAAAAAAAAAGTTATTTGACTCACAAGTTGTAGGGATTTCATTCCATAGTTGACTGCTCCAAGGTAGGGTGGCATGAAAGAGGGCGGTGCAGAGGAGAAATAGTCCACAGCAAGCAGGCAGAGGAGAGCACGTTTACCCCTTTTCTGTACATGTGTATGCAGGTAACCCATCTTAGGTGGGTATAGCACTCATGTCTTTAATTATAGCCAGAAATATGCAAAACCGACCATGGGCTAATTTAATAATCATAGAACCTTGGTCCCAGCACCACATACTCTAGATCCACCTCTGCAAAGCTCTACTTATGACTATATGAGACTTTAGGGTGACACCTAGACAGAAACCAAACCACTAAGCTAGTAGTATTAATGTTCAGACATTTTGTTTTCTGTTTCTTTGTATAAACACAAACTATATTTAGAAGTAAGTTTTGACTTCATATATTAACTAGAATATAGTTTTGTAAAACAATACTGATTTGCTATTTTTGTAGACAATGTATGATTCTTTTAACTTAGTACATTTAAGTGAGATTGGTGGTTCTGTTTTAGGATCAAGAATTGATTTTTAAACAGATGAGCTGAATGAGACTATCAGCAGCAATTCATGTGAAACCACCATTGGAAGCCGGTTGTGATTAGGCTCACCTAGTTTGGGCCTGGCACAGAAATATGAGTCTGTTTGTAAACCATGTATCATTTTTTCTGCTGTTTCATACATTAGTCTTTAAGTGTCTTTCATTGCTTTATTTGTCTTTCCTGTCTTTACTAGGGCTTTAAAACAGGTTATGATCAACGCAGAAGATTTCTTAGTGGCATAGGAGTACTTGGCTACCTAGTGGAGATTTTGAAAAGTTGTTGTTGAAGGTAGAAAGCTTTTCCATTTCCAGAATACTTATATTATTTTTGTATTTTTATTGGTATATACTTGTAGCACATAATGATTACATTCATCTTGGAGAGCTGGTACATGAAACATATTTAATTCTTTTTACTTTCCCTTCTCTTCCCTTTCCTCATCCATCACTCTAATGCTTGGTCTTCTATCCAGAAATAGATTCATAAAGCTATTTAATCAGTGATTCGTTGACCATTTGATGAGAGTAAGACATGACGAGACATTAGCCAGAGGGGGATTTAGAAGAACATTGTGTTGGTATGCTTTGTGTCACTGTGACAAAACAGTGAGATAATCAGTTTAAGAAGGGAAAATTTATACTGGCTCATAGTTTCAGTCCGTGGTGGCTTGGTTCTGTTGCTTTGGATTCTCTTAAGAGTGTCATAATAATATTTCAACTTGTTTTTGGAGCCAGCCTCACAAACCTCCAAGTTAGATTAATATTTTTAGTTTCCAGTTCTAGACATAATGCTCTTCTGCTAAAACATTTTACTTTTTCTTGCCTTGTAGAATAAGTATAAACTCTCCAAATTGATATGTTATTCTTTATGGTGAGAAACAATACATATCAGGGTTTCCTACATTATTTCCCTATAGTAATATGTGTAGCATACAATAATGTGATATTCACATTTGTCTAAAAATGAGAGGTTTTATGGTTAGTCCATACTTGATTATTTACTGCTACGTTTGTAATACTACATGTATCACTCTCTCAGTTTCTTTTGCTCAAGGTATAGAATATACCTATACTATGAAATGTTTCTAAATTAACCAGAAGATTATTGTCTTCATACTTTTCTCTATCATATTCCATCAAACTTTTAAAACTCCATCACAAAGACACTACAATCATGCTATTCTGGAAAAACTTCCTTGCGCTCACATTGTGTGTCTCCTAGCTGTCCTCTGAGTCACTTTGGTACTTTATTTAGCATCACCTATTATACTGACCTTTTCTTCCAGGTAAATATAGTGATTTGCATATTTATGTGTCCTCTCTCACAACCTTAGAACAAACTCCTGGGAATCTCTCTCTCTCTCTCTCTCTCTCTCTCTCTCTCTCTCTCTCTCTCTCTGTCTCTCTGCTTTTCTGTCTCTCTTAGTCTTTGTAGTGTCTATGGCATATAAATTCCTAATCTATGAGGTTAGTGAATTTCTGGGGTTGGCTTGACACCAGGGCTGTCATTCTTTCTTTAGTAGGACCATCTATTCAAATGTAACTTTACATGCAAGAGGAAACAATTGGAGTCACTGTGGTTGGAAAATTAGTAATCGTTATATTCTCAAGTACCTTCTTGCCTGCTACCCCTTGCTGATTCTACAGAACACCTAGGGCACTGTTCATTCTTGTTTGAAAACTGCAGCATTCAGTTTATATGTCACAGTCAAGGAGAGGTCTTTTATTATCACCCCCTTTGGTGGTATACCAGAAGTCTTAAATTTATGTTTGGAATAAATACTTTATAAGAGCAGAATACATGGAGTTACAGGTGGAATAATGGTGAACTTATATTTCACTCAATTGCATTGTCATTTATTGCCAAATTTCACCCCCGATAAATACCATCCTCTCTGTTGGAAATATCTAGAAGCTGACAGAAAGAAAGTTAAATGGGAAACATAATAGCATTAGATGTTTCAACAATAAATAACCCAGAAATAAAGCACATATATATTTACTCCTACTTGTCTGCCTTTTAAAAGAAAAAAGTTGCATTATGAGAGGGAGAGAGAGCGAGCTGACATTTTACAGACATTCAAGAGCAAGGAAAGGGGTAAATGGTTTGTTTTGGGGCAGAGGATTCTGTTGTGTTCTGAAAGGTTTGGGTCATCATAGAGGCAGAGAAAATTCAGATAAAATAACTCTACAAGGGAAGAGATGGGTTTTTCTGAGAAATTTCCTGTATGTATGGGATTTCTTTTTTCTTTTAGCATATGAAAAAGAGTTTAAAAACTGCCTTGAATTTTGATGTACAGGAAAGCTAAATTCTCCTTATCTCTAGAGGCATAGAAGCTCAATGTTTAAGGACAAAGTATATTCTTAACACAAATGAAAATCTCAGGAAGGAAAGAGAGAATAAAAAAGAGAATGAAAAGAAAGCAGGATGATATTTGAATTTAGGGAATTCTTACTAAGGCAGATTTAGGTCCCACCCTGCAGTGCAGCATTCTGACAGCGTCTTACTCTTCAGAACACTCCTTTCAATCATTTTTTCTTTCTATCATTTCCTTTTCCTTCCTTCCTTCCTTTCATCTGTCCTTTATTCCTTCCCTCTATGTATATCTGCCTTTTGCTTTGTCCCACTTTCCTCTTTTTATTTCTTGCCATTTAGGGTGATACATGGAATGTTTCCCATTGTCTGTTGTCTGCAATTCTGAGAAAACCGTAACACTGATGCAAAAAGTTTATCAAATCCTCTACCTTCTAAGGAGGACTGGCGTGAAGGAGTCCTCATTTTAGGTTTTTTACGGCAAGCTGAGCTATGCTTATCCAATTGCTTCTGTCCAGGCCTAATAAGTAGACAATTAGACATTTTGGGGACAGGGTTATAGTTCAGTCACCTAGTGGAAGTTAATACTCTAAGTAACTGCTGATAGAGATGATTACTCATTGTGTTTGAAAGAAGGGAAGAATTCCTCAGGTGAATGACTGCCAATGAATCCAACTTTCTGATTCATTCTCTGTCTGTGAACAACATCTCTCTAAAGGAGAATTGGTAAAGACCCCAGGAAGGGGGCAGTGTGTGTGTGGTTAGTGACACTCCACTGCTCTGAGAGGTCATGATGCATGAGTTTCCTGTGGGTTCAGGGGCAGCTGGCTGACTTTGAGCCATTTTTTAATTCAGCAAGTTGCCTTTAGAGTAAGGAAACCAACCAATGGAAGGAATATTGCAGGTGGCAGAGCTGTGGCATGGATAGGAGGTCAAGCCAGAGTATTTCTCTGATGAAGACACGCTACAATGAGGTGTCCCCACTGTTGGTGTCCTGGAGAATCTCAAGCATGCTCCTTAACAGAGATATCCGCCACTTAGAGGGAGTTCATAGTGAGTCTCTGTTAGCAACGGGAAGGTTATGATAGCACTTCCTACTCTAAGAATGTCAAGGTTATCCTATCCTCTGTCCCATTCCAATCTGTCAGATAGATGGAGATCTAGCAAGAGTAGGGAAGGAGGACTGGGGATTTAGCTCAGCGGCATAAGCGCCTGTCTTGCAAGCAGGCAGTCGTGAGTTCGATCCCCGGTACCGATAAAAAGGAAAAAAAAAAGACAAAAAAAAAAAAAAAAAGAGTAGGGAAGGAACATTCTAGAAACTGATGACACCTATTTTATCTGTTATGTACCTTGGGCCACCATAGAAGGAGAGGAAAGTATTAAATAATCAAAGACAATATGGTTTTGGAACTTGATTGACTGAACTTATAAAACCCAGAGTGACTAGAACTTATGGCGTATTCCCAGGATGATGCTAAGGAGATGGGAATGCACTGGAGCATGGTTAAAGACAGCTGTTAGAGAAATCTAAAGCCATTTCATGTTTGTGTGTTTAGACTGCTCAGTAATCTCATGCTATTTGGGGTACTGCCGTTGGAATAGAACTTATATTGTCTGTCAAAACATTGTGAAAGTTAGCACACAGAATTGTGGCTGGTTTTCATAAAGAGTTCTGAAAATTCACTCTTCTTTATAGCATGGTTAGAATGATTAATCTAGTACTTTCTGATAACTTGACCCATGTTAATTTACCATGATTCTAAAGTTGTTCGTTGTCTTTTTTGCAAGGGTGGTTGTGTTATTTGTGACAAATTTCGATACAAATTTCTCAAACGTGGTGGTGGATTTTCTTCGGCCTTTCTGTTAAGTGAACAAAGAAACTTGACAAATTGACTTAAGATTTTGACAATGCTACAGAGTTTTTATTCTTTTTAAAAGAAGGATCGCTTTATACCCTTACACCCAAGCATGCATTAAAATGCCATAAAACTAGAAGAAGCTTTCCAAGGCTGGAGGAATAGATGTAATGGATACAGGCTTAGTTAGCAGCTGCCATCATAGGCGATTTGGCATTTCAGGAACTTGAGATAATTGTCGACCTTATGTGTATCCCTGCGCAGGCAGCGGAACTCATTATGATAAGCAAACAGGCGCGATTCTAAATCATTTGACTGCAAGGATGGAAGTCCCAGCCAGACAGAGTAGTCGCCATTGTCTATGATTTCTGGATCAACCTAGTCAACAAAAAGACAGTCACTTATTATTCATGTTGCTTGTTTTTGTATTATTTGTATTTGTTTATCTTAGTTTTTTTCAATTGTTCACTAAGATTTGAGGAAGAGATGGAAATATAAAACTTTAGCCAAAGTCATTAGTTTTCATGTATCCTTGCCAATGTATCATAACTCTATTAGTCATCTAAAAGCTAGAAACAGGACACATGTATAATTTTTCTGATATGCAAGTGAAGTATGTTTCTGCAGGAGTACACAAGTGGAGAATCAGAAAATTGCTGCTTGAATATAGACGTTGCATTGAAGAAGCTGCAGTGGGAGGTTAGCTTCTGTTTTCTCATTAGGAGCTTTTACATTTCCTGAAACTTGTCCCTCACGGTCCCTTTGTGTTTTATTTCTAATATAGTTCACCAGTTATCTGGCTGTTGCTTTGAACTAAATCTATTCTCCATAAAACGTCAGTATCAAAAACTTTAGAGATGGCAAGAACTGCATTTGATGCTTTAAGGCTCAGAGAGTTCAGTCAGGACTGAAGATCAGGAGTCTCTCATTTGACCCAGGAAAAATTCTCTCCAGGTTACCATGAGGAGCATCTGCTTTCCTTTGACACCCCAGAAATTGCTGGGGAAAGCACCTACGAGGGGGAGGGTTCAGGCAGCAGCCTCCCATGGTGAAGATCAGGGTAGGATTGGGGTGAGATTGATTTAGCAAAGTTCTGCACAGTTAGAAAGAGGTCCCCATGTACCTATGGGCCTCTGCAAGCTGGGTGTCCTGGTAACAATTGTGTCTCTATAGCAGCTGATTTCGAGAGCTACTATGTACAGATCTGCTATAATTGTAGATCTTCATCTGCTGAACTTGAATACTTGTTACCTTGCATTCAGCTTTTTGTTTATTTTATTTTTGGTACTTAAGGCTCTAAGACAAAATTTACTGTGTAAGATACTATGATATGAACAAAGATGAATGGGTAAGTTGTAGGAAAGAGGACCAGAAAACAAAGCATTATGCGTCAGAGTAGTGACCTTCGGAAGTCGGCTCCTGGTAATGAAGAAAATAACTTGAAAATTAAGGTGTTTATTTATGTTCCTGGGTTAATATTTTCTTTGTGTTGAAGGTAGTCTTCTACCATGAAAATGACAAAAATGACACATGATAACATATATTTAGGATATAAAGAGAGAAATATAAAATTGCTTCTGTTATTATTTCTATAATCATATATTTTCCTTTAGATAATCCATTACTTCTCAGAACTTCAAAAGCTATTCTGCTGTTATCTCACTAATGTTGAAATTGTTCTATCTGAATAGAGATACATATTGAAAATATTAATTCAATCTAGGTATGACAAACTATTTGGGAAGATTAAATATAATGATGCAAGTTTTGATTCAGAAACTCCAAGCAAAAGAAATTTAGGCTAGCTTTCTATACATTATAAAATGGGGAGCATTCCAGAAAAGGAAACTTCTTTTGTGAGCCTATAAAAGCTAGTGCTTTGGGACAGTATTGATGCTGTGGCCTGCTCAGTCTCCTTTAGATAAGGGTAGGATAGGATGTGAAGAACATATGACCTGATTTTGATTTTCTCCTTTCTCTCTCCCTACTCTTCTCTGATGAGAAGAGTTAAAGGAAAGAATCTGACCAGAATTTTGGTGCAGGTATCCGGAGATACATTTAAAGAATAGTTCACTTGCAAGTACTGATGTCGCATTGTCTTTCTTAGGGAAACACGTAACTATCTAGCCCCACGAAGCTAAACATTAGCCTAAACATTCCTGCAGTGAGGGATTTTGAAACATGTCCCACCATAGAAGGAAAAAACCATGGGAGACCCGGAAGTTGCTCACCAGCTTGCTTATCTTCTTTACGCCTTCTAGAAGTCGTTGGTTTTGTTCCTGAATCTCCATGGCTTTTGCTATGAGAGTATCCGGGGCTTTTGGCAGGTGATTTGCTTCTATGATAAGGTGGCTCAGTGGTTCAGTCCAGGAGCGCAGCAAGTGGATGACCAGGATGACAAAGTCTTTTTGCTAAACAGCCAGATTGCAGCAGTGATATTAAAATAATGAGAGACAGTTGGGTTAGTACATGCATCTCTGCTCAGAGGGGCTGAAATCAAATATTTCTTTGATATTCCTGTGTATATGTAAAATTCTTCAGTAGATGAGAGACCTCAGAAAGATGGAATTTAAGCCATTGGCCTACAGTTTGCTACAGTAAAATGAACACACAAAACTAATTGAAATAACCACTTCTTATAATGAGGGATCTAATCAATAGTATTCAATTTTGTTTTCCCTCTGAATTTCTATTTTTATTTAAAATCACGTTGAGATGGCTTATGCCAGGGAATCAAAGAGAAATGTAATATTGATAAAAATTGGAGCTTGGAAAAATGATTAGGGTTTGATATGTAGACTTTGTTGTCAGAGCAGAAGCCAACGTTACATCTGGGAGAATGATGACGTACTATTGTGTAGGACATGCAGGGGGGTGACTTTCAGGTAAGACATAGGAGAGGGCAGAAGTGAGTAAAGAACAAAGCAGTCAGTATTAGAAGAAAAGCAGAGCAGGAGAGTCTTGAAGACTAGAATAGATGGCTAAAGAAGGCAGCGGTCAGCATTGCAAAAGGTTGCCAGCGCAGGAGCCAGGAAGCACCTGTAATAAATAAAATTCTATCTACACTTCTTACATATATACATGAATGTCTCTTTAACCCAGTTTGGTTCAAACTTTCCTACCTAGGAAATAGGAATTTCCTATTCCTACGTATAATATACACAATCCTAAGTACAAGGCATGGGCTGCAGTGATGTATGCACGGATAATTTATGGATCTAGTGCAACCTGTATTTAGCGTTTTGATTTTGTGTACAGTTTATCAACACATTAATGTAGTTTTCTCTGTTGGCTTACTCTTCCACCATGTCTCCCCCTGTGATGCGACTGCTATGGCCACCCATCAGAGTGCCTTCTACAACCTGTGGCCTGGCAAAACCAGTGTACTGCCTCAGTTGTGCTGGTGGAGCCTTGGCTAATGACTCACGTGAATTTGATGGGCCTGCTCCTTGCCAGCCGGAGTGGAGAGGGATGCGGTGTGGCACATGCTCATGGCCTGGGTAAAAAACTCTGGGCCCTGGGAATACTGCGCATCCTGGAAATGATGAAGAAGATTCAATTAATTCAATTAGTTGTGGTTTGGGAATTGAAAGCAATGAATCCATTACCAGAATAGTAATCCGCTTGATGGATGTTAATTTAAAAAAAAGAATGCTACAGAAAAATTGCAGCTAAAGAATTTATAAGGTAACCTCTTTACTTACCCCTCCTCCATTATCTCTGTAATCTCATTGTTATTCAACTAATTTCCTAACCTCCCAACCTTTTTCTTCTTTGCTATGGTCTCTTTCATCCTTCCTATGAGTTACTCTTTAGGAAGCAAACACTAAAAATATCAAAACTATGTGTGCATATGCATCTGTATTTGTCTATTTAATCTCTTGTTTCCTGTGAGTCCAAACTGATGTTCTTCCTTAAATAAGTACAAATTATAACTTTAATTTATTTGCCTTTTACTACACACACCTGTATTTTATCAAGTCCATTGTAAATTCAAAATGCGGAATTTTTCATTGTGACAAAATAAGTCAGCAAAAGAGGAAACAAACATTTTAGCAACTACAAAGTAATCATTTGAGATCATAACCAAAAACAACGCAAAAACTGAAATTTTAAAGGAGTTTCTGGGAAGATCTGGAAGATAGAAAATAGCAAACTGAAAATGGGGAATAAAAGACAGCCTAGTGAGTAAAAAGAACAATATAAATATCTATCTATCTATCTATTTATCTATCTATCTATCATCTGTCTACCACTTATCTTTTTGAGACAGGGTCTCACTATGTAGTTTAGGCTAGCCTTGAACTTGCTTATGTAGCCCAGGCTGGCCTTGAGCCACCTAAGAGTGATTTGTTTCAAATGTTTACATTTTTAAAACTAAAACAAATTAAGGGAAAAATTTAAAATCATTACATTTACTGAATGAGATTTCACGAAATTTTTCCTTGTTCCACTTTTTACTGGCTGATGCCAATAACATGATGTTAAGATACATTATTTGGAATTTGCTTAATAAGATTTTCATGGTTAAAATGTAGTACAGCCTAATTGTTGATGTGAAGGCTCTTTTTGGGAAAAGGCAAAAAGCGAGCCACTTACAAATTCCTGGGAAAGTTCTGAGGAGAGGCTGTGGATGTAATGGGACAGGATGATGGCACGCTCAAACAGGTCTCGGAGGGACACCCGGCAGCTAGACCCACTGGGACACATGGGCTGGGAAGCCACGTTCTTGCACAGGAGCAGGTTTGACATAAGCAGCAGCAATAAGAGTGATCCTGCTTAAACAAAGAACATGAACAGCTCTGAGATAATCTGTTCAGAGAAGTTGCCCAAAGCAGTTCTGCCTGGAGACAACTTATCTCGCCCCGCTGCTCTCTGCCTATGATTTGCTGCTATAATAGCTGGGGAAAGGAAGAATCAACACCTTGCACAGTGTGCATTTAGATTTGCACAGATATACAGTTTGAGAAGTGAGTGACTCTGTGCATTTTTGTGTTGGTCCGAGGATATGCTTCTGGGCTTTACAAACACTCAGCATAAATTAATTCTGATCCAGAGTGTTTAAGTCATTCTCTTAAAATAGCTTAATGTCTTAGGAATTTCTGTAGATTTTTGGCCATTGGACTCTCCAGGAGTTTGTCATTTTTTTTTAACTTAGTGTTTAATATCTGCCTTTTGGACACTGATATAACAAGAACATCACAGTTTATTTTTTTTAAATCTTCATGCTTGATAAGAACAAAAACATGATTAAATGGTTGCTAATACTGAGAATAAAGAGAATCCTGACATGTAATGATGCCATGACCTGGATCTGCTAACACTCTTTGATAATCCTATGCATTTGCTTGACAGTTGCCAAAACCTTTAGTTTTTTTCCTAAATTTGAGCTTTACAATAGCCTTGGGCGACAGACTGGGCCTTCCTATTATCGTCAAATTATATTGATGAAACACAGGCTTAGAGAGGTGAAGTGATTTTCCTCAGCTCCTTTTATTAGCAGGCGGGGAAGGCTGAGCACCCGTGCTGTGGGCTGTGCACTTCGGCTGCACCTCATGCACGACCATGGGCTCTCGGGATGCGACTGTGCACATCGGGCTGCCTCAGCAGTCCTGGGCACGATGTTTGCAGCAGTTGCTACTGTAACTTATGAAAACATTTTTGTTTGATGGTAGGATAACAGTGGCCTTTAGAGGCTTGATTCTATCTACTTTCCCTGCTCTATAAAATTCCCACTTTAAAATTCTTTGACAGCCGTTGGGGTAGTTTCATCCATTTGCTATGTCAGTAGACAGAAAGAAACAGACCTGTAGCCTATCTATAATTTACATTTGCAACAGGAAAGAAATAATGATCAAATTAAAATCACCTTTCACCGTTAGTGACACTACTGAAGAATTTCTGATATGAAAATGTGATAGTCAGAAGGCAGAATTCCACAGAATCTTTGATAAATAACTCTAGAGATCTCTGACAAACCTAAGCAAATATTGAAGATTTATGTATTAATAAACCTAAACATATACCTAACAACACTAAGCACACCTAAAATTTTTTTACTACTGACTGTAGTAAACTTTTCAGCTTTAAAATTAAAAATGTCAGACGATTCTTATTATATGCTTTTATTTTTCCAAAACTATATCATTCAAAAAATTTACTTTGTGTATGTTATTGTAACATAATGTAGTCAAATGGGTATTTTATGTAGAGGTGTAAATGAAGTGTGATTTAGAGATAGAGAAACTAGAACAACAGCTCTAGGAAAATTCATAACTGGATAAATGTTCTTTAATGCTGAGGAAATTTATCTGTACATTTGTCATCTGAGGGATTTTCACAGCCTGAGATAAGATAAAATAGACAAATGTTTTTGTTCTTTCTTTTCATAAACAAATTTTATGCTTGTTACTAATTCATTTTTCTTATAAATGTCACCAAGAAAGTAAAAGCGATTACTTAGGACTAGCCTGTTTTTTGTTTGGAAAAGTCATTTGGCTTGAACCAAACTGAAAAATCAGTATAAGACTCACACATTTGCCATTGCTGTTTTTCTTATGGCTTGGACACTGAAAAGTTTCATCAAGTTGATTCAAATTGGTCAATACACATGAGCCCAGAGAAGCAGAATGTGTTCATTTCTGCCTTCTAGAGTTCTCATAAGTTGAACCCATTGACCCTTGTGGCCTTATTCTAGTCCAGAGTTTCTCAATCTCAGCATTCCTGGCTTTTTGAGCAGGATAATTTCTCTGTCCTGTGCACCTGAGAATGCTTCCAGCACACTGTCCTCTACTCATTAGGTACCAATAACACGCTCCCCAAGCCTCACTCATCTTGATTAAGCCAATGCAGAAGATCTCTGGCCATTACCAACTGTTATGGAGAAGGTAGAGTCTCCCATTTGAGAACCTCTCGACTATCTTATTGTACTCTGTGCAGTCGCTTTCCAGAGTAATAACTACATAGTCCTAAACCCTGCAAACTCCAGACTTCTTGCTATTAGCTACAGTTTCACAGTAATCCCCCCCCCAGCAGCGTTGAAGCCAGCACCTTGCTGGCTTGTTGCACATACCTTGTCTCTTGCCGTCCATGGTGATGACCAGACTGGGTGTACCTTCACCAGAGAAGGCCTAGCAGTCTCACGTCCAAGTTCACATGTCGGCTTTATAAACCTTTGGCATTTTCATGAATATATTTAATCAGGCATTCTCTTCCCCTTTCCTAGTCCTCTATTTCCGTCACTGAGATTACTCCCATAATTTCAAACATCAAATGGTATTTTATTTCTTATTCATATTCAGGAAGGCACATTGGCTAGAAATGAAGGATTCTGATTAATTAGACCAAAAGGAAATGAGGGAAATGATAAAGGTGAAATCTGGAGACCAGGTTGGATTACAGGATCTGTAAAACTATAGAAGTCATCTACTTTAAAATTTACCTGTATTTCCTGGCAGTTTATTAAATATATAGCATTGTATTTCACTTAGGAAATACTCTCATATATTATCAATTATAAATTTCTTGCTCAAGTTGCTAAGTGAATTAAAAGTTTCAAAATTTATGTACTGCATACCAGAAAGTATAGAATAGACTGAAAAAGTAGGATCTTCAGTTTTGTGTTCGATTCTGTATTTCCTTCATCATTTTGCTTTTACTTATGGCCTTTTAGCCTCTTTAAAATAATATATTTATGTGGTACTTTGTTTTATAATATGTATTTTCATCTGTTTGTTGCTTTTGATTTTAACGTATATGTAAATTTATATTATTTTCATGAGTTACAGACCAAAGAACAGATTTGGAGAAGCTAACCACAAATGATACAAAGAAGTAATTTTTCTATGGCCAAGTTAGGTTCAGGAAGAATTATTGATGCAAAAGGAGTGGGTAAGGGTGTGAAGAAGAGAGGGAAATATATCATTTAACATATATTGATGTGAGCCCATGTTTAAGATGTGCAAGATAACACCATTGTCTTTAGAGAGTTTATTTTGGGGAAGCAACACAGTATGCCAGTCTGTCTCTCTCTCTTTGTCTGCCTCTTTGTCTCTGTCTCTGTCTCTGTCTCTGTCTCTCTCTGTGTGTGTCTTCTTGTAGAGGATGTAATAATCAACATTCCAGGCAATTAGTTCCACTGTTTGGAAGGATAGAGATAGATAAACTAAAATTAACTTGTGATCAGGCTGACCTTTCTGACCCTAAATCACTCTGCGGAAAGGTAGCAAAAATTCATTGTTCAGAGAATCAAAAGTTCCATTCACCTCATAGAGATTGACTAAGTGAAATGATTATAATGAATAAAAATGAAATTGGTGGTGACTTTCTCTAATTTTTAAGTCCATGCATCTGCAGCAGCTTGTGACCTTTAATTCCAGTTTTATTGTCTCTGATAGTAGATAGATGGACAAGGTAATTTTAAAAAATAATCTGTTATTATGACATTTTCTTTTTCCATAGTTGTTAGTACCATGCATGTGGCATAGCAATGATCTAACTAAACCCTTTTATGGAGATCTGGAAATCTTAAGCAAAACTAAAATCTCTGAGGAATGAGCTCTTAATTAATTGCCTTAACTTAAGCAATGCTAGATTTCGAATCATAAACATTGTGTGGTGATTTATTGTCACTGTCAGTTTAAAATCTGGATCAAGGTTCTGTACACTTTTACTGGATATCTGCTCTTTCCCCTGGACAATGAAACATCTGAATTAGCAGGAAAAGAAGGCTTAATGCTATTTTACATTCCCCTCCTCTAACAGAAACAGAAGGATAGGAAAATCCACCATAAGAACTGACATTGACAACTTACTCTTAAAATATGAAGGTGCTACAACTTTTGTAGATAGCCAGGATAAGAATAATCTAAGAAAACCTGAGTTGTGTTTATTTAGTGCAGGTCAATTGATTTATTGGACTGCAGAGAGGTAAAATTTATTGCGTGCTTCCTTGCAACACTGCAGACTCACATTTCCTGTGAGCAGGAGATTGCAATACCTAAATAATGTAAAAAGCGTATTTCACGTTAAAAGTCATGGTTGTCCTATTTTTCTACTATATGTGTTACTGCTTTCACGTGAATACTTGCGTGTGCTCTTTTGCAGGTCTGTTTCTTTATCAAACTATAGCACCTTTAAATTGGAACTTATAAAGAAATTCACTAAGAATGGCTTCGTTTGCTTTTGTGTGGAAAACTCCATTGTTTGCCATTTTTGGTCTGAAAGCTTGTGATCCTTTGAGAGCTGATGACTGATTTCTGTCAAGTAGCTGAATAAATAATAGCTAAAATGATGTTAAAGTTCTCATGTTATTTTTGGTATGTGAAACTAATAAGCAATTTTGCTGTCTTTATTGGAAGGCATTAATTTTTTTGGAAGGCTTTAATTTTTAACATCAACTGCTATCACATTGGTTTTCAATCCTAGTTAGGAACAGAATGTGTGTTTTATTTTATTTTTCTTATTTTAAAATTTGGAGTAATTTTAATTTTTCTGTCACTCATGGCACAACATGGAATCAGTCCCATATTAACTTGAGAACTGTGTACTGTAAGATGTGGTGGAGGCTGTTAAAGGGTGAAAGAAACTAAGAGTGTAAAAAGTTTTTAAAATTGTTACACCATGCATAGTCTAATCTACATAGCAGGGAACTGTCTTCAAAAAACTTTCAGATGATGGAAAGCATGTTGTTTATGGATTTAAAGATTCCAAATAATTATTTTCCATTATTTGGACTGAGGAGTCAAATTGAATATATGTCCCTTATAGGCCTCAACCCACAATTAGGGGACCAGTGAGGAGATTCTTCCAAGTGTGACATACATCTATCCCAATTATGCATTTTGCAACTGAAAATGACAGCAGGATGGATTCTGGGATGCACTGAACCCACGGCAAGCCTGACCTTGGCTAACACCCCTTTGGTCACCTGATCTCCTTAGGTCCCTACTCTCTGCAGAGTCATGATGATGTTTCTGATCTCTTGGAATCAGTTAATTAGGAACCAGTATCCAGTGGTCCCTAAAATGTCCATTTCCTGTTCCATGATGCACATTATTCTGGTCAAATACTGTAGTTCCTGTTGGAGAAGGACGGGAGAAAAATTAACAGTATAATTTTTTGGTAGTTCAAAAATCTTTCCCAACAGGACTTGGTCTTCCTTTCACACAAGGAGTCCACCGTCTGTAATCTGGCTCAACTCTTGCTATGACTTGAGGCAGATTTTTGTTCATTTGCCACCAAAGTTTTCTGCTTATATAGACTCAGAAAATATTTAGTAGTTCCAGTCTATTTCACTTTTGGGAACAGCGTAGTTAGCCAGTGCTATTGTCCAAAAAAGTAGATCACCCGTCATTGCTTTGGCTCTGCTGTCTCTTACAGTAAGTCCACCCACCTGTCTCCCTTCAGTGCAGTGCTGCTATTTCTTTCTACCCCTCTGAATCCAACTATAACTGTTGCATTTGAGTAACTGTTGCCCCAAGCTAAATTTTGGTAAACAGAAAAGAGAAATGACAGCTTTACAAGGATGCTGGTGCTTCTTTCACATATCTAATTCTCAAGATATTAGTGGAATGTACATTTATTTTTGGAACTCCCCCCTTACCCATTGTGGATGAGTAGATATTACCTGAAAAATCTTTCCAAAGATTTTCATCTCTGTAAGGCTTTGGATTCTCTCATCAGTAAGCCACGAAAGATCAGGAATCTCCAGCTGGTTCATAGTAGAGTTTTTGATCCATATGTCAGCCAACAAACCAAATAAACTATTAGCACCTATTTTGATACCTTAAATCATACATTATAGCCAGCATCTTGCTTAACTTATATCAAGAAAATCAGCTTGATCTAAATTTATGTGCCTTTCATTATTACTCCACAGCCTTAAAATCTATTCCCAGATCTGCTCCCTGGACTAAGGCTTATAAGAATTAGGAAACTCAAATTCTTTTGGGAATGTATGTGTTCTTATAGGTCATGCTGCATATCTCACTTCTAGGCGCCTACTCAGGTTTGAGCGTGGTTATACAATTGCAAACTGAAACACCAAAATGACACTCAAGATTTTGATTCAGATTTATTTACATTGACTGGCACTGAATGGGATCATTCTGAGAATATCAGACTCTGATTTCTGGTGGTCTAGGGCTTATATAGGACAAGCAAGCAGGAAGTACAGAGGCAGAATGATTTGTCAGTTGGGGATTGGTTTTTACAATTTGCATCATAGTAACCAGCTGTGCCTCACAGTGACAAGTTGTTTCTAAGAAACAAAAGTAATAGGAATTGTAACAGGAACTATTATCTGCATAACTAACGAACTGAAGTATACTGGCTGGGGTGGCATCTTCTGTTATAGTTATAGATCCAGATGCAAATGTGAGTTATAAGAATGAATCCTAACAATTTTGCATGTTTGTGTCAAGTGACCTGAGGAACTCTAGAAGATCACTATGTAAAATATCAGCCGTAGTTCTGTTCCTACCACCATGTATTGGAAACCTATATTGTCATTGTTTTGGGCTCTTTGCTATTGTTATTTATTTGTGTTTTTTGTTTCTTATTTTTCTAGCAATCTGTTTTAATTGTTTTGTTTTTACTTCTAATGTAGAAAGGATAGATATACATGTAGAGGCTTATACATGCCTAGAACTTCTACACAGTTTATGAGAATCGATTATGTAATACTTGGTAAAATGAACAGCTACTTTGAAGAAAAGCAGACATAGTATCCATTGCTGATTTTATATCATCATGCTGTGAAATCCAGTAATGCTTCTATTATTTGTTCAGAGTGGTTTTAGTCTGTTTTGCAAGTTTCAACATACATGAAGGTATAGACAGCTATTTTGAAGAGAACAGGAGATATTATGGCAGGCACTGTTAATTTTCATATTGTCTGGTTTTGAAGGCCTGTAATGCCTTCATTGCTCTGTTATGATCAGTTTAATACTATTTTGTTTTGTATGAATTCATTGTGTGTGAAGATATAGACAACTGTTGAGAAGAAAACAAGAGACAGTATGGTAGCCACTGTAGATTTCCTGTTGTCTTGCTTGAAATCTGTGTCAGTTACATTGCTTTGCTTCTGATCTGCTTTGTTCTGTTTTGTTATGTTTAATTTTATCCTTTAAAAAAAAAAA